TTCTCCTTAACCCTTCTCTCTTAAAACCCTTACCAAGGAGCACCTTTATTATTTAGTGTAGGATTATAATTATTGTTGAATAACCCTTTATTATTTGTTATTTAGTGTAGGCTTGTAATTATTGTTGAATATAAGAAGGGAAATGAATATAGACTGTATAGTTAAGTAGCTAAGCCGAGTTTCGTCAACTAGATAGTTGGCGTAACAGGAAATAAAAGGTTAATTTTAAAAAACCACGCATAAGTTTAGAGATTTTATAGATTAATAGATAGTCCCTTAGCTATTTTAATCCCAATAAAACTCTCTTCAACTTTGGGGGTTTACCGTTTACACGTAGCCCCTTCTTTTATTCCTCTAAATCTCTTTAAGAATTTTCATTTTAACAATTCAAAGTAACATCATCAAGTCTAACATTTCTTAGAAAATGATTGGTGGAAAATTTATGTACATATGAATGAATAGCCCTAACATAAGCAATTATTTTTTGGTGTACAATGCAACCAAATAAAATATGAAAAAATCAATATTATATGGTATTATTTCTTTGTTTGTTTATGATCAAACACATTTTAGATAACCCCCCTCAACTATTTTAACTCTAGAAAATCCCCTTCAATTATGAGGTTTGTCATAAATAATCCACATCAACTTTCAAAATATGATTTATCTCCCCTCGACTTTTCTCACTTAATCCCTTAAACTAATATAATTATAATTTAAAGGAACAAAGGATCAAAAATAACCAAACTATTCCTAAGACATTAAAATTTTTACCATAGTATTTCCTTTTAACTTTTTTGGTTAAAAATACCTTTTATTTTATTTTGCCCCTTCTTCCTCCATATCTCCATTGGTAGGTTCACCTGTGGATCTAATTTTTTTTTCGAAACATTAAGCTTCTTTTGTTCTCTACAACACCCTCAAAATTGGGAGGGGTTTTCTAAAATTAAAATAGTTAGTGAAGGTTTTCTAAGATGAGCCCATAGTTGATCGAGGGGGGTTTTTCTAAAATTAAACCTTCTTTAAACTTCTGGTGGATAAGGCGAAAACCTATTAATAGATGTTTATATATTTCCAATGATTTTGCGTCGCATTCTACCAAAACTCCAGCAACTAGCCATGAGCTGAAATCCTTTTGTGCTAACAACTTTTGGTCACGTCTCTTTTTTTTTAACCCTACCATTTAGTAAGATTCAACTATATTGATGACCACATAAAATTCTATTCATAACCTAAAAAGATTTTACTCATGACCAGTGCATCTAATTAGCTTTCCGACTAGTACTAGTAGATAATATCTCAACTCACAAAACCCACCTGAGCTTTGGGGGATTTGCCACGAACCCCCCTGTTTTCGTCGAAAATTATTTTCTTCATTGTATAACTCATTACAACTTTGATCATTACAATAAGTTCAAAAAGATCGGTCTTTTTATAAAACCTTTACACAATGAAAATAAAAGATACAATTCTCTTGAAAATAAACGCAAGATTCGTTTATCGTCTCCTGCTTGCGTGAGTGTCTTCGCCTATGCCGTGGTTTATCCGTAGACCGCCTTTGATCAGATCCGATTGTTGAAAATTCGGCAGAGCTCCTACCTCACCAAGGAGGTATTTGCTTAAAGCGCTGAAATCGACCGAGCGAAATCAGTAGCTCTTCTCGAGATTAAGACCAAGCCTAATCTTGAGGAACGGACGGGAACAGACTTCAGATCCTTCGAATTGCTCCTTCTTTATGCCGGGATTCGCGGGGATCTCGCTAGCCCTTGCTGAAATTCGTGCTCCCTTGCTCTCCAACTCGGCAGCACCTCCTCGTCTTGATAATTAATCTGCCCCCTTGAAATGAGCCCCTAGGCCTGTATTTATAGGCTTCGGTTGGGGTTTTTTGGATAAAAATGAATGATTCCTCCATATATTCAGTTAATAACTGATTAACAATGTTTGGGGATGATATCAGATCAGTTTGGATGCTCAGGAACGAACAAATCTTGAGAAAAACCGTCAAAAACCGAACAGGGGTCGAAACAGCGCGCAGGGGCGGATCTGACCGGCGCTTGCGCGGGTCGGTTTGGTCCGTCCCGCGCGGCGCGCTGGGATTTCTGGTTTCGCTGATATCTTGTGTTTTTCGGTTCTTTTGGGACTTGTATTTTCCACCGTTTTGCGTATTTGATCGTCTTGTTAATTCGTACGCTTCGCGCGAGTTGACCGACGCGCGCGAGTTGACCGACGCGCGCGATTTGACCGACGCGCGCGATTTGATTGTTGGGCGCGTGTTTGATTGAAGCGCGCGAGCTGATTGACGCGCACGCGCTGACCGACGCGCACGAACTGCTTGACGCGTGCGAGCGGATTGTCTTGACGCACGTGAGCTGACCAACGCACGTGGACTGATTGTCGAGGGCGTGAGCTGATTGTTAAGCGCGTAAGCCACTTGGTTCGCCGTTTTGCTTCAGGCGCTTGTCGACGACAGATAATCCTCTTAGACTCGGATAACGACGTTCGTTGTCTTCTCTTCGTCTCGAGCTGTGTACGGACACCTATAGGTATTTTTAGACGCTTACACCCCCATAAGCTTTCTGTTAAGACCTCTTAAAGTTTGGGGCGTCTTACATAGGCCCCATAAACATTTTTTTTCTCAACAGATCTTCTACATGTAAATAATAAATAACTAAAATGTCCTGGAGATATAAAAAAACTTTCAATTTACTCATTTGTCATTTATAAGAGCATCTCCAACAGCTTCCCCATTTTATTGGTATTCTCACTTTTGGAGAATTTTGAGCTTTTTTTGGTCCAACAGATTCCTCATCCCATTCCTCAAAATAGGGATGGAGGATAAAAAAAGGAGAGTCTTCCCCAAATCTGGGGCATTCTTCAAATATTTGGGGAGAGCTTTGTCATAAATGCAGCACGTTCTTCAAAACGAGTTGGAGGAGAAAATAAATATAAAACAAAATCCGTAATTACAAAAAAAACCATATGGGAAGTTCCAATGCATAAGAGTATCCCAAAATAGGGATGTAAAAATAGGGATGTATAATATGTTTATTATTGTAATAAATACAGGATTTTTCAAAATGGGGAAGCTGTTGGAGTTGGAGCAAAAATAATTTGAAGAATATGACTTTTGCTTTCCCATTTTGAAATTTTTTTTTGGGAAACTGTTGGAGATGCTCTAAGCAACTTAACCTCTCCTTCTACTCCAGTTTTCCCTTCTCATGGATATCTTAATTATGGGTTTTTTTTTTCAACGTTAGTCCTCCAACTCTTTCATATTTTGAAATTAATCCCCGAAGTCTTCATATTTTTTCTTGGTCACCCAGATCTTAAGTGATTTGAAATTAGCCCCTAATCTCCATATTTTGAAATTTGTCCCCCGGATCCTTTAAGTATTTTAAATTTAACCCCTCTAGTTAGGCCCGGGATGAAAGGTTTGAAGGACTTATTTCAATAGACTTTAAAATTTGGGGGACCAAATCAAAATATTTAAAGATTTTGGGTATGAAAGATGTGGGGGACTAATATCCAAAAAAAACCTTTAAATATTTGAGCGTGGAGTCTGTGGACGATGGAGACATTTTAATAAACATACAATTAGTTGGCAAATTAATGACGTGCTGGAAAAGGGATTAACGTCTGCACTCTCGTTTGGCACAGAGAAATTCACGAAACTTGGGGCCCAAAAGAGAGAAAACTACAGCATATTAATTACAAAATGATCAGATGATGTCGTGGGCTCAAGGAATCTCATAAAATACAACCGTTGATCAGGTGGACCATTTTCAGTTTCGTGGCTTGTCTTCATAGCACAAGCGAACACTTGGGAGTTTGTTAAAGAATGTCTTGAATCTTGATCATGATTGCATTAATGACTCTAATGAGACTAATTCCTTCGATAATGAGTTTATTTGGTGGGAGAAAGTATTCAATTGTTCTGGTCCATAACATTAATGATGGACCAAAATCATGTCAATTAGATTAGTAAACTTAGATATTAGTATATTGACTGAACAATTATCTTTTTTGATGCACAATCAGTGCAACGGATCAAGATCACCAGATACTTTTCTCGATACCTTACACCATATTTTGCAAATTTCTAACAAAGAAAGATTAAGGAAAAGGGCCATTTCGAATAAAAAGTATGAACATAATTGGTTAACTCCACATAAGATTTATTTTCATGTGTTGTTCTTTTTTAGTGCTTGGGAAATAGAAAAAGATTACTAATATTTTCTTTATTAATAAAAAGATTAAGGATGGATTACTAAACCCCTCACTTCAAGGATTGAAGCCATGCAGAAGTGCTATAATAATCCTTCCTTTAAAAAATTTAGGGAATTTTTTTTTTTGACAGGTTAATAATGGATGACTCTCCTTGTCTCCTCACTTAACTTTGTCAGCAAACAACAAGTACGTCGAAAAGAAATAGAAATTAGAAATTCATAATTCAGGAAAAAAAAGGGAGAAGATAAATTCAATGATGTATATCTGACATATTTACCGGTTCACGCAGAACTTCAACATCATAGGTGATGTATATGACATAACAAATACATGATTACATTAGGACATCAAGAATCACCAGCTGGCCGCCCTTTGTCATTAAATTTTATATGAAAGATTTGTGTCTTGAAAGTCATGAAACATTTACCACAAAGGAATGTTATAAACTATATTCCAAAATTCTTTTCTTTGTGAAACTTTCGAAACTTGGGGGAGAAGGCAACTTTGCAGCTGCGCCCCAAATCACTGGGCTACCCGCGGTGGGTATATGGCCACAACTTACAATGCTTACAAGTTGCGTGTTCAGCTTTAGATGCAGTATTTTCGCCGCTTTGCAGGGTTCAGTTTCAGCTACAGTATGATATATGCACTCAGGCGCTATGTCGTTCATAGGAGAAATTATGTTGAAAGTAATGGATGTCAATCTCGATCTTAAAGATCATCGATCGTCTTTCTCATGAACCTCTGCGCTCCGACAGTGGAAAAAAGAAAAATGGAAGAGGAATCTTATGAGAATATCATAGAAAGAATAGGGCTTGATCCAATTCATGGGGATTCCATATACATTCCATTCAAAAAATAGCCGGCACAAAACTTCATTTGCTTCTCTTCTATGTAGGTCCTATTTTTACTAACTTTTAGCCTATTTATCCTTCTGATACCTCTAATAAAAAGGACACCTTGGTTCTATCTCATATCCGCAACAAGTTTCATAGTGAAACATAACATTCCTGCCCACAAAAATTGCTCACCAGTCAGGATAGTGAGCACTGTTGCCAAGTAAATAACAATCCAGGATACTCGGTAGTCCGTATTTGTAACTTGGGTACATCAACTTTACACCAAGTTGTTCTTTTAATTTAGCATTTGACACGCGTTTCTCACCATCAACTAGGTCTGCCTTCAGCTGCTGGCTTTGTAATTCGACTGTGTCGTCTTCCTCAAACTGGTCAATCATATGTGGACATCGATTTCGGAGCAAGGCTTGCGCAAAGGCAAATACTTCAGTTCTTGGTGCAGGGTCATCATCTACAACATTATATATTTCCCTGTTGAAAAGAAAATTTTTACGCAAGTTATGTTAGTACCTTTCAATATGTTCATTTCATATAACTAGATCACTGAGAATAAGTGTTTCAGAGACATTTCTTCACTCTTTGTGTAGACGTGCGTTTATGTACATACACGATGGAGATAGAACGACATATTGCAGAAACATGTGTCTATTCTGATAAAGGGTAAATTTCACAAAGTTACTGTGAAGTTGGCGAGTTTTGCACAGTAACTAACATAAATATGTTTTATTAGAGAAAACTATGATGAACTTTCAAAAACTGTGATAATTGTGTTAATGTCTTGGATAGAAGGTCTAAAATATCCTTATTTACATCTATCAATCCACAAAGTTCATAACAGTAATATAAAAGATATATAAAGCGCATAAGGGAAAATTTGTTCAAAAACATGTCACATGAGAAACACACAACTTACTCTAATGTCATGCATAGAGTTTAGCGAAACTAGTTTTCTCTAATAAAATGTGCGGTAGTTTTATCAAAAACACCCCAATTCATGGTAGTTTTCTGATACTTAGTTTTTTTTCCATATATTAGCCAATTATCTGTGTGATCAAATGCAATATGAAAAAGAAAACTTGGTAAGTGTCTACAGCAGATTTGTTCGACAAATTCCGGTCTACTAATTGTGAAGAACGTCCCAGAGGCCAAAAATATCCACAAATTGCAAGTGGAGCTCACTCTATACTATGTTCCAGGTCCTACCGTATTTAGTAAATATTGCTTCCTCACATCCGTTATCGAGCCCAAAGAAACTTAAAAACTGATGGGTCCAACAGAAAAGTATTGTTCTATCAAATATAAGTTCGGTAAACCAACAATTTAGTAACATGCTTAATTGTTTCTGTTCATATATTGTAGTGCCCATATACGTGTTACAAAGTTGAGATCATGCATGAACAACTATTTACTGACTCAATTCAACACTTTCAAATTTAGTAGATCAATTGTAAATAATATATTTGATTATATTTAGTAGATAAGTAAAATATAGTTGGAAGATATAGAGTGATACAAACCCAGAAGACGGAAGACTAAAGCTGGCCTTGATTGCTTGATAGATATCGGCAACATGAATCCGTGCTGTGTAACGCTTCAACTTCCTCATTGTCTGTTTTTCTGACAGGGATTTCTGTTTAATTATGGTATCCAAAGCACTGAAACAATTTCAACCGGTCATTACAATGGTAAAACAGTGGAAAACACACATAAATTAAAAAATGGGTACATTTCATAAATCTACCATGAACTTTGTGGGTTTTTTTGCATAAAACTACCACATTTATTTTAGTAGAGAAAACA